TCGTTTAAAACAACAAACACGTTTAGCACAATTAGTTGGAAATGACTTTGAAATGGTAAAATAAAGAGATAAATTTGTATGATGAATTTTTTTTTGTTGTCGTATTTTAGCCACTACCTGCTGCTCTAAGATTAAATGTATATGGTGAAATTGTTAGTGGCAAAAATTTTGAATATGATGATCTTTATGTTTATTATTGTTTAGATTTACCAGAAAGTAAATTTGTAAATTTTTTCTTTATAATAAATATATCATGCATTTATTTAGATTGGCATGCTGAAGCTTCAATGATTTTTTCAGGTTATACGCCTACAGCAAGTGCAACAGAGTCAAGTAATGATGTAAGAAATAGAAATTGTAGAGAAAGTTCTTTTTTTTTTTTATTAATGACGAGCTTCAATTTATTACAAAATACCTTATTTTATTTAGAATTGAATGATATATACAAATGTAATTTTAATAAAAGTACTAATTGTAAAAAAACAGGCTTGCTAATGCTTTTCATAAATTATGAACATTAGGAAGATGAGATTCAGGCGATATTTTAGTAGAGGATCTTTACTAGTGTCCGATGATTTCAAAGTTCAAGTAAAAACTATTTTCATTTAAAGTTAATTTGCTCTCTTACGTTTGTTTCTATATACTACAAATTGAAATAGATTGGTCATATTTTTACCATTGTAATTCTCTACTCATCCTCTATATAAACTGTATATCTTAGATTTTTATAGTGCTGTGTGTTCAATCGTTGTATAATTTCTAGTATAGCGATTTTCACATACTGATCTACTAGCTAATGTGGATGGTTCATCTCATGATTTCAAAAAGGAATCCATCGATGTACTTGTTCACATCGTTTTATAACTTGGACGATTGAGAAGATATTAGTACAGAAAAATGAGACATAGCTTATGCCATCGTTACACTACATTTTCGTCTTGGTCATTTCAGTTTTTGTATATTTTGATAGTATCAGAAACCAGCGTCATCTCACTGATTGACAAGTATAACTGTCTGCCCCAATGAATTAGTAGAGAGCGTCATCTATTAATCTCTCTAAAAGTGACTAGCATAATGTATTATACAAATATTATTAAGATCTCTTTTATTCGATATATATATAAATTTTGAATAATCATTCAGTTATAAAAAAATCTTTTCATAGTGCATTTAGAAATAACCACTGAAAAACAAGCGTGTTCCATGCATCAATTAGTAGATCATACCAGTGCAAATTTAATTTTCATTCGTAAATTCAAGTTTGTCTAGCGTATTTATTATAGATTACGTATAACAGATCTCACATACGAATATATTTCGGGATAACTTTTAAAATTTTTCTTTCTTTTTTGTATTATCAGTTTTTGTCAGCTACTTCCATGTTTTTCATGCAGTATGAATTTCACTCTGGTAGTACATAAGCTAACCCTTCTTTTTCTTTCTGTCTTGTACTTTAAATACATTTGTTCTATGTTGCATTAGTACATATTTTACGATACGCTGATGCTTCTTTACATTACACAAACTCCGTTAATCTGACAGAGTACTGTGCCAGCCAATGTCTATAATCTGAAGAAGAATCGATACACCACTTATGTTGTGTACAATCGTAGATAATAGCATATTAAAATTCCTTCTTATAGTATTATAACAAAGCGTAGTATGAACTTGTACTTCACTTGAACTTTTAATTCATCGGACTATAGTCAATAAATATTGAAATTATGTAATAGTTACTCCTTTCAAGATAGGTGGTATATATTTGTACCATAGTAATTTTATTTGTACAGCAAAATGTATACTCTATCAATGATAGGAAATAGTTGTGAATGCTAATGGGTATTGATATACATCTAGTGTTGCTTGATTGATCATGCTCTATTATTAAACTCACAGATTTTCGTCTACAAAATAATTCGATAGATCTTTGACAAAGATAGACGTCGTCATTAGGATTTAAGACGAAGTAGATCCTCTACTACTGGCAAATCGTCGAAACTCTAGACTTATCATCAACTAGCCGAGAAAGGCGACAATGTATTGTCTGTCGTACATAACTGTCAAACGACTAAAATCACAATCTTATACCTATACAAATATTCAGATTGTGTGACAAATTGTTTTTTTTTAAGATTATCCTACTTTGAAAATATATTAATAAATTTGAATAAACAATAGCATCACCTGATTCTTGAAATTTTATTTTTATGTCGCGGACAAAGCTCGAAAAGATTTTTACCTTTAGGATAATGTTCTTGAAATAGTTCAGAATAGCATTCACTGAAACCATGTTTAAAAGAGAATGACTCATTGTGTATACATTAGCTGTATTTTTTTTTATTTGTGGATATATAAAAGTAAACAAATCCTTTTTGTTTTTGAGAAAATGAATACAAGTATTTGATCATAAGTTTAAATCTTGCTCCTTTTTAAATATCATTGTGTCTGATTGCTATGTCACACATACATTTATATGTCATTTTCAAATAAGAAAATCATTTTTGTTTTTAGGATGATATTGTTTATTATTCACATCCATTCGAATTTGAACTTTGGTATATGCCACCGAGTGTTGCAGCTGATCATGGTAAAAAATTGAAATATGCAATTTTTTCTTTCATAATCCTTTTTTTTTATGTTAAGAACTTCCTCGAATGCCAAAAATCTATTTTCAAGTTGCTTCACAAGATGGATGGGGTCGTCATCGAACAGAAGGATATACATATCTTGATATTCCAAGTTTTCCTGGTTAGATATTTAATGTTTTTAGTTTTCATAAAAAACTTGTTTTCTTTATTAATTAGGATTTTATGATGAAGATTTATCATGTTGGCGACCACGTGGTGCTTCAATATTTAATGAACTTCGACGATTTTTTATTGGTGGATCAAATGAACTTGAAGATATTAGTTATGTTGCTATGCCGAAACAAGTCCAAAGTGAAAAAGTATTAGATAATTAAATTAATTTAAAATTTGAACAATATGAAAATTTGTTTTTTTGTTCTTTAGAATAAAACTCCATTGAGTCGTTTTGGCTTTCGTACTGTAACAACGGGAACATTAAACATTCGACTTAATGTTATTTTTCAATCACAGTATGTTAAACGAAAGATAAAATTTCTTTTATGAAAAGAAATATTTCATTATTCAGAGTTTTTGATTCAGACTAAAGACGATTTCCTTTCAAAAGAGAAAAAGTGGATAAAACATTGTTACTATCAACTATTTGATACCTTAAAAATCTATTTGTTTTTAAGAGTGTACCAGAAAGTAGTCTATTTATTTTTTGAAAAATAGGTTCTCATACATTTGTAGTGTTTGCTATTTGATTTCTACATTCCATATAAAAATTTCAATGAGATCAAAAATTAATATGTGCTTGTTTTAATTAGAGAAATTGCTCTGGAATATGGTAAAAAACGTAGTGCTCATGAAAGACATCATTATGGGTATGTAATCTAAAAGAACATAAGTGAAAACCATTAATTTTTTTATTGACTTTTTTTTTTAAATAGATTTAATGCATTCATGTCAAATATAAAGGCAACACTTGGTAAGCATAGATTCCATGATTTTCTTTAAATTAATAGATTATTAATTGTTGTCTTGTGTATATCTCAAAATTAGATTGTCTAATCATGTCAATCTATTGTTTAGAAGCTAGATAGAAAAATATGTGTGTTAATGTGTATGAAAAAGAGATGAAATTAAATTAGCATAAAGTATAACTTCATGTATAAGACAATGTTCGAGAATTCAATCAATATAATTATGAGTAAAAATTGTAACTTTTCAGCTGGTTCATACTGATTATTGTAAACGATGAATATACAGTTCTATATGGCGAAACAGAGATGAAGAACTACTGCTTAAGAGAAAAATTTGTTCTGCTATAAAAATATAGGAAAGGTTTAATTCTCTTTTTTTTTAGTCACACATTCAAAGAAAACGTATGAGAAATCGATTCACTTAATGCATAAGAAAGTACTATAATACTTAATCATTGTTGATCAACAAATAATAAAAGTAGTTTTCATTCCGGCAAGGCATGGGTTTTACAGTTAAATGATAAAGACTATTTTGATACTTTCTATCAATAGATAAATTACGAACGCTGTGTATGGAAATTATACTTTTATTTCCATCAACGTGAGATGAAGCACACGAGTAGATTCTGCGCATCTGCAGCGAAATATCCACACAGTTCACAATAATGTAAATGACAGTTTACAGTTTACCTACACTCAATATTTTGCCAACAGAATATTCTGCAGATCGTTTAGCTTATCTATAGGCGAAATTTCACATTGAAATAGTGTTTTTTTTTTATTTTTCAGTATGTATCTAAAGCTAGGTCGAACATTCAGTAAAGCGATCCTCACTCGACTTCGATAGTCTACGAAGACGAACTTTTTTAAAGAATTTTCTGATCTTATTGAGGTCTTCTTTTGGAAATCTATGAGTTCAAACAGTGGGTATGAGTTCTGGCTATTCTCTTGTAAATTAAAATAAAAGTTTTTCTATAATCGGAAACATAAGTTAAAACTTGAAGTCTTAAACAAAATTGATCTAAACCAGAAAAAAAGTTTTCATAGAAAATTCTTGAATAAAATTGTCAATAATTGGAACAAATAATAATATTTTTTATATACCTTTTTAGATGCATACGAACAAGCAAAACGACATGCATTGGATGTACGAGAATCAACATTAAAATTACTTACACCAAAAGCAGCTGCTTATGAATGATTCGATTCATCATCGACAACGTAGATTACAGTCAGATGATTTCATTTTGTTTTACACAGTGACGATAACTTATGCGCCGTCCATTATACGTTTTTTTTCTATTGTTTTTATTGTCTAGCTTTCTTTATCGTTATACTAATCTGTAACAATAATTTTTTTTTTCATCTTATTCTTTTAATTCCATTAAAACCAATTTTACATGTTTATGTATGAGGGAATGAACTTTTTTGTAGAAAAAAAAAAGGAACAATGCATCTTCGATCGATTATTCGGCATCGAACTGTTCTATCAACATCGCTTCGTATTCTTCAAAGTTATTCACCAGCTGTTTCAAGTTAGAGAAAATTTCAATATTTTTTATACTTTACATGTAATTAATTCTAATTGTTATTTATAGATCAATCAAATTATCATCATTTAATTCTTCAAAAACCTATTGGTCGTACAACAATATCTATTCAACGCTATTTGGCTACAAATAGTAAACCAGAGAATGTTACATCAGTACCACGTAAATTTGAAAAAGACATTAATTTTTATGTACTATTAAATTATTTTTTCATTAGATACGGAAAAACATCAATTTCAAGCTGAAACTCAAGAATTATTGCATATTGTTGCAAAATCACTTTATTCAGATAAGGAAATATTTATTCGTGAATTAATTTCTAATGCAAATGATGCATTAGAAAAATTACGTTATGTGCAATTAGCAGCAGGTGGTGAACGAATAGAGGATGATAAACGTGAAATTTATATTACCGTTGATGATATTAATAAAACAATGACAATAAAAGTAAGTCAATATGATTAAAACTGAAGAACAAATGAACACTAGTTATCATAGGATTCGTTTTCAAAAATTTGGAACTAAAGAAAATAAAATCATACAAGAGTATCTCGTTGACCATCCGAGCAAATAAAAATGTAAGAGAAGATCAATAGATTGTAAAATATTAAACATTTTTCTTCATTGAGATAAGAGTGATTTCGCTTCTGAAAATTGTCGACTTTGTCTATACTAATAATGATTATCATGTCAACTGTATTGATTGAGTTTTTGCTTCTTTTTTCTTTTACAATGTATTTCTTTTCTATTTGAAATGAACATGGTTGTTCTTATCTTTAGGATACTGGTATTGGTATGACAAAAGCTGAAGCCATTGACAATTTAGGTACAATTGCTCGATCGGGTTCAAAATTATTTTTAGAAGAATTAAAAAAAGAAAAAGGTGCTCTCGATGAAGGAAAAATTATTGGTCAATTTGGTGTTGGATTTTATTCAGCATTTATGGTAAGACGATTTTTTCTTCTTCTGAATATTTATTTAATAAATATAATAAAGGTATCAAAATCAGTTGAAGTAATAACTCGATCATATAAAAAAGATGAACCTGCTTATCGATGGACATCGGATGGGTATGTTTAGATTTCTTTATGATTAATTGAAATAAAATTTTTTAATAGATCTGGTACATATGAAATTGAAACTTTACTTGATGATGTTGATCGTGGAACATCAATTCGATGTTATTTACGTGATGATTGTGCTGATTTTAGTAAAGAAGAAACGGTTAAACGTAAGAAAAAATTAAACGACAAAAAATTCACCTAATATTAAAATTTTTCTTTAACAGAGATCGTAAAAAAATATAGTAATTTTGTCTCAGCTCCCATCTATATCAATGACGTCCGTGTTAATAATCTTCGCGTACGTTCTTACATTCTGTATTTTCAATATTAATATACATATATATATATGGTTGTTGTTTTTGTTTTCAAATAGGCCTTATGGATGGAAGATAGTAAATCTATAACTGAAGATGAACATACTGAATTCTATCGTTTTATTTCTGGGCAATATGATAAACCACGATATACCTTGCAATATAAAATTGATGTACCAATCAATTTAAGAGCACTTATTTATGTGCCGCAATATAAACCAAGTTTGTTGAAAAATTATTCTGTAATTTTTCGTTTGTCTATTGAATTTTTTTTTTCTCAAATAGATATATTCGATGTAACACAAGAAGCTGATGTAGGTATTGCTTTATATAGTCGAAAAGTATTGATTCAATCTAAGGCTAATCAACTATTACCACGATGGCTTCGATTTGTTAAAGGTAAAATTTATTTTTAATGAACGATATTCTCAACTTGTTTGTTGGCCATGAACATGCATTAAGATCGACCATCTACTAGGTTACTTGTCAGTAAAAGCAGTTTCTTTTCTATCATTTATCTATCTCAATTATCTTGCTAGCATATGCTAACAAGGTGATTGAGAATGATAGATGACAGATAAGAAATGACCCTTAGCAACAAATAAACTAGTATATAACTAATTTTTATGCATATTCATGGCCAACAAGCGAATTGAGAATATCGTATATTAAAATACATCATTAATATAAATTATTTATCTTAGGTGTTGTTGATAGTGAAGATATTCCTTTAAATTTAAGTCGTGAACTTTTACAAGACAGTAATCTTATTCGGTTAGTTTTCTTTTGTTAAATGCATAAAGAAAAAACGATTATTTTTTGTTTTTAGAAAAATTCGTTTATTATTAACACAACGTGTTATACGTTTTCTTCAAGAACAAGCTAAAAAAGATAAACCTAAATATCAAGAATTTTATGAAGATTATAAATTATTTTTTAAAGAAGGAATTGTTCGAACAGCTGATCAAGGTGAAAAAGAAGATATTGCTAAATTATTACGTTTTGATTCATCACGTGAAGAACATGGAAATTTAATTAGTCTTGATGAATATATTGAACGTATGTTACCGGATCAAAAACATATTTATTATTTAGCTGCACCATCAAAAGAATTATGTGAAAATTCACCATATTATGAAGCTATTAGACAAAAAGGTTATGAAGTTTTATTTGTTTATGAATCACATGACGAAGTATTACTTATGCAATTAGCCGAATTTGATAAGAAAAAATTAAAATCAGTTGAATCAGAACTTGAAACTGATACAAAAAAAGATGATGTAATTCTTGAAGGAGGTAAGATATATATAATTTATGGTAACAATTTCAATTGCATACTCGATAAATTAAATTTTTTTGAAATTTAAAATAATTTTTTGTTTTTGATACAAATTCATAAATAACACAATATTCATACTAAAAAATTTTATTAGAATTAATAGCTAGTTTTTACAAAAAAAACCGTTCTCTGGTCGCTTTTAACTATATTTCTAATTGATAAAAGATAGAAAGTAGCAGCTCTTGTTATTGTCTTTCATCGAAACGAGATTTTAATCGTTCGAATGGATGATTTGGAATCAGAGTCAGAACAAATGATGCTAGAATATAAGAAGGAAATTAAGTCTAACGATACCAGCTCAGTGTAGGAAATGAAAGAACTGATTTTAATCGGAAAATAGGCGTCTTTACAAGTGCCTAGTTCTATATCATCCCTCAAACGGCTTCTGTTTTTTTTTTTTGAAAAACGAATTCATAATAAAGATCTTTTCAGCTTTATACAAATAACATAAGTACAGAGAAAAAAACAATAAATTCAACTGTTATATCATTCTAAATCTTTACATTGCGATGATTTCGCTCAAATTTAACTGTATCAGTTTCCGTTTCAGCACCTACATAAGCTATTTCCGAGGTCGATTTAACATTAACTCTACTGGATTAGTGCTATGGAGATAAAGAGTTAATATTAATTACAATTTATATTGAAATAAAGATTATTTCTTATGAAGGCATAAATGAGTTTTTAATATAGCTTGCAAGTCACGAAACATCTATATCATTGAGATACAAAAAGAGAAAGCTAGCATTATGATTAAAGCATACCTGTCATAGAATGATCATGCTATCTAAAGTATTTTGATTGCTATCATATTTCTATTTCAATACATAAGAGTTTTATATCTTAAAATTCTCTTCTATAATGTTATTACAATAAAAAAAAACAACAATTTCTTGAATTGTCAGACATAGAATTGATTAAAATACTTTATTAGAAAAAGGCCAATACAATGAATTTTATAGCATATTAAAGTCCGTGGACATCAGGATTAATATAGTTTATGATGATTATTTATTCTAGTGCTTTATGAAACATGATATAGAAGACATTGAAGTCTAGAGGTAGAAATTTGAACTCACTCCCTCCACCTTCAGACAGACCATGATAATCATTGTTGATATACGATCAAAGAACGTATGCTGATAACATTTCATTCTAATACATGAACTATTCGCTTATAGCATTTCTGAAGGATTAAGTAAAAGAATAATGAAGGAATGTATTCCAAAATAGATATAATAAGGCAATCTCCTGTGATTAAAAACAGCCGCTACATCATTTTTCATATTGTAATCCCGCAGAGATTGCGATAACAGCTTTTTAGAAAGAAATACGACAAGAATTCGCGATATAATTATTGTCGTCACATAGTTATTTATAAACGATCGTATATATGCTTATCTTCTACACCTTTATAAGTGTAGTCCCTAATCTCTACATCCATCATCAAAATTATTTTGTTAAGTGCAAAGATCCCTTTTTTTTGTTCTATGACGCACTACTATTATATTAAAACATCAAAATTTAACCCAAATTTGAAAAATCGACAGTAAATAATGATCTTATACTGAGTTATTCTTCAGGAAAACATTTTTTTTTCTATTGATTAAATTTATTTAGATACTCGTAGTTTAACTCAAGATGAAGCAAATACTTTAAAGCAATGGATACTTAAACAATTTGGTGATAAAATCAAAAATGTTAAAGTAATTATATTCTCTTTGTTGTTCTTTAAAACTACAAGGAACGGCAAGAGCCGATTTTTAGTCATCTTCAGTTTCCATTCATTCATGATTTATCTGAAGCAGAAGTTCGCGAGTATTTGTTTGATAACAAAATAAAACTATTTCTAACATATTTGAATCCATTTTCTCAGAAATTATCCTATACATCAGGAATAAATGATTCATACAAAGAAGATTGTATTGCGTACATTTTCTCATACCAATACATGTTGAATTGAAAAGTATATCAATAGACTATCTATGATAAAATTTCAAATCGAACGATGGAAGTGTTGCTGAATACTGATATGACTGTCGTTTCTGACAAGCATGAAAATCATATGTTTACATGAGAACTACTACTCATTGTTTTTTTAATATCTCAAGCAAGGTAGAGTACTGATTGGTTCTGACAGCTCAAAGGAAGAACTACAAAAGTATATTATTTTTAATTTTTCTAGACATGAACTTTATTTTAAAAAAGTGCTCTTAAATTATCTGCATTCATTATTTTTTTTTGACATTCTTGCCTGACTTTTCATCAGTTTCATTCCGACAAAGTACAATTAGCGTCTTAATCAATAAACTATGCGGAATGCTCATCAAAAACTAAGTTAACTTATATATGTTTTGAAGTTGTAGGTCAAACTTTATTTTCCTCAAAGAATTCAGCTGAAGTTTTTCCCAGGGGTCCTCCAGTCACAAAAAAAATGAATTCAATTAAAAAATGATGTCAGTAGTGAAAAACAAGTTCTTAATTTTTACAATAGCATTAGACGACAAAGAAAGAGACAGCTAAACAAAAAATAATGATATCATGATTAAATTAATTTTTTTTTTGACTAGAATATCCTAAGGAAAATTTCAGCTGAATTTTTCAAGGAAAAGAAAGTTCGACACAAAACTTCATAACATACAAGTTGATTGAGTCTTTTATACTGATTCGAACTATATTATTGATTTAGATTTAAATTACATTTGTTGTGAATGAAACCTGTTAAAGACTAAAAATAATAATAAAAGAAGTTTACCTCGAGGAAAATTAAAAATAATCTAGTTCTGTAGTTTTTATTTCGAGCTGTCACAACCAATTGATACTCTACCTTGCTCGGATTATTAAGAAAACAGTGAGCACAAGTACTTATATAAACAACACTTTCATCTTTTTTTGAAGCAATAGTTATATGAATACTCAGGAACACTTTCACCGTTCGATCTGACATTTTCATTAAGGATAGAGTACAGAATGAACAACCGATTGTGACATAGTTTTCGATTCAATGCGTCTTTCTCTGTTGACTAATTTACACGCTTCATTCTTCTATGTTTGAAACAAGTTATGAATGGATGATCTACAAAAAAATTGAGTTCTATGCGTTGTTGTTCGTTCATAAAATTTATTTTTTTTCCTTTAGATCAATACAAAACTTGATCAACATCCATGTATAATAACAACGAATGAAATGGGTGCTGTTCGTCATTTCTTAAAAACGAATTTACTTCAAAGAAATAAACAACAAGAAATTTATAAAGTTCTTCAACTTAACTTTGATATTAATCCAAAACATATCTTGATTAAAAAACTTTATTCACTTCACAAATCAACTAATACACAATTAGCAACAATGCTTGGTCAACAAGTAAAGAAGTTCCGATTTGTATTTACTAGAAATAAATTTTTCTTTTTTTTTTCATAGTTAATCGATAATGCATTGGTTACAGCTGGCCTTATTGAAGATCCACGTTTGGTACTTACTGGTTTAAATAAATTATTAGAAAAAGTACTTGAAAAATATTAGAAAATTGAAACAAAAAAAAAACAAAAGAAAAAAAGAAAAGAAAAGATCAAATTGTTTTGTTTTGTTTTTTTTTTTTGTTTTAAAATAAAAAGAAAAGTTAGTTAACAATTATATCAGACAAATGTATATGTAGGGAAGACATAACATCAAATAAAAATAAACAAAAGAACAAAAATAGAAATATGAAAAAGAAGATTAGTTTATTGAATTGCCATTTTGATGTATTTTTTCATCCCAACTAAATGAAAATAATTCAATACGTGTTGGAAATTTATATTTTTGCATCGTTAATATTCGACGCCAAATTTCACGCATATTATTCATTGAACCAGGCTTGAAAAGAAAAACAAAATAATACAAAATTAAAATAAATTGATTTTTCACTTACAAAATGTCCAAACATAATTGTATAAAATGATTTTGATGACATAAAACGTGTATGTGCTAATTGTTGAGGTATTGTATAGAGTGAACCAAGTTGAGCATAGGTTACATTAGCAGCACTAGCTACAGCTCCAGTTATATAATAATCATCAACCCAAAAAAATGGAACATAAAGACTAGCATTATACCTAAAGAATAATATTTTATTAGATAATTGAAATTAACTTAAAAAATATTGTTTTGTTACATCTTTGCAGGCATATCTCCAGTTAGAATGAAAGCTAGAAAACAAAACAAAAAAAAGCGCTTATTTATTTTATATTATATGATTATTTTAGGAAAAAAATATATATAATCTGAGAATTCGAGCAGACGCGAACAGTTCATCATTTGTTTCTTATTATATTGCTATTTCTTCTATTGGAATAACTCAATTAGTTATGGTCTATAATGATCCCTGGAGGTCAATTAGAAAATTATCTCCAAATCATAAGAGAAAAAAAGTCTTTTTCTTCTTTTCCTATGATAACAAGAATATAATATTTACCTGACCCACTACAATATGGTGGAAATTTATCTAAAGGAAAATCTTCTTTACTAAGATACCATTTTGATTTACTAAAAGAAACAGAGAAAAAAAATTTATTTGCAATAAAAAAATAGAATTGTTTAAAAAAATTCTTTTTTTCTCACCTATCTCTCATGACACCCATAGCTTGCCATAATAAACAAAGTATTGTACTATGTTTGTTTGGATTATGTTTATCAAGAAATTTTAAATGATTTATTAATGTAAATGTATTAACAACAATATCATCATCAACTTTTAAAACATATTTTGTTTTCGAACAATATATTGATATCCATTTTAATGCCATAACACCTTTATATGTTAAATTTTTATATGAATCAATAAAATCTTCTTGTACAATATCTTGATATAATTCATTTTCATATTCAATAGCTTTCATAACATTATTATCCAGTGTTTTACCAATCATAAAAACGAGACGTAAATCAGGAAATAACGTTCTTGTTGCCCATGTTTCACGTATAATAACACGACGTTGATAATTTGTTGGACCCGAATGTACATAAACTAATAAATAAACAGGTGATGAACTATTATCACATACAGAATATTCAGGATTAACTATATAAGAAAAATTATGTGGATTAACAATATGATCACGTGGATGATAAGGATTAATTATAGGTGACGTTGTTCCTGCTATTATTGCTTTTGTTGTTGCGTTATTATTATTATTATTTGAACTATTTAATAAACCGATATGTAGACATATCAAAATAAAAATTATATGTTGAATTTGCATGTATTATTCTGATCTAGAACACAGAAATATATGTTTATATTATTTGATCTTTCATTTGATGTTTTTTTTGTCTTGATCTTCGATTTCTCGTTAGAATAATGACTTGATATATGACACCAGTAGTGTTATTTGAACCACGCCTGAGTGATTTTTGCCTTCGACCGGAAAATCTATCTTTTGCTTTTAGCTTCCATGATGTACGTTGTTCTAGGAAATAGACAGATAATCATCTATTCTTCATCATTATTCTATTTAGAATAGACGAGCAAAGAAGAAAAAAAAAATGATAATGGAAGAGAAAGAGCATGACATTGGAAAGAAGAGATGTTTATGTATATAGAAGGAAGATTTTGCTTTTGATTTCTTTTTTCTTTTTCTCACGTCAGCTCTTTCTTCATCAAATATTCTCTGACTTGATGAATGCTATGATTTCCCTCGTGTTTGTTACGTTTTATTGTGTGCCTTTTTTTTTGTTCGTTATAAATTTAAAAAGAAAAAAGAACACTAGAAAGAAGAGAAAGTCGCCTCATTTCTTGTGCTGGCATCTGTTAACATATGTGTGTCTTTATTTGTTGTCGGTTTATTCTGCTTCCTATAGATAAAGGTTTACACCGGTGGAAAAAAAAAAGGTGTATGCATATGTATGTAATGTTTGTCAAGTGAATATAACTAAATCAAAACGAACAAGTTCAATACTACGTGAACATTAGTCAAGAAAAGAAAAAGAAAAAACAATGGAATTATTGCAATATTAGAAATGATTCAAAAGAAAAACGAACATAGATAAAGAACAAATTAAGTAAGGAAAGGGAATTGCTAGAGTTTAGTTGAGGTCTAAGTTGCGTGTTTCATGATGAAGAAGAAAAAGTATAGTATATACATACTACATATATCGACGAGCGTCATTGATAGTGTGTGCGGTCGAACCATTTTTTTTTCTATCTCGTTTTCTATTTCTTCTCTTATAGCTAATGAGAATAACACCGAATGGTTGCTGTTATATATAGATATATATATATGTGTGTAGGAGATTTCTTGTCGTTCTTATGCTCTTATTCTCACAACAACAAAAAAAAAATAACGGATGTCGATAGATTGCTGTTTTAGTATTGACAATAGTAAAAAAAGAACCTATTATCAGATTAATAGTATGAACGATAAAAAGAAGAAGAAAGCGAGAAAATGAAAACATAAAAGTTGTAGAATATTTTGATATGTAAAACAGATTTGTTAGTTTTCTTTTTGTTTGACTTGTGATGTCAAAACTATGTGAAACCATATTCAATACAACATACAATTAGATTTCTTTTGTTGCTTATATAATAATTTACATTGATGCTTTCTGTATTATATACAATAGAGTTTTCAAATGGCCTCCATTGGAAAGACTCAGAAACAAACATTCGAATGTATGACACAATCTAGCTGTTTAACGTTCTATACAAAATAGTCAGAATATGTCGTTGACAATCGATTAAGTAGCTACAAGAGGGATAGAATAAACTATGAGGACGGATACGAAGGTCAGATAAAACTACTGCTCATACTGCTGTAATATCGTATCAACAATGAAGATAAAAGAAAAAGAAAGCGAGTTACTTCATAATATATTACTGACTGATTTGTTGGTATATCCTCGACACCAGTATCATATACTTCATTTATACATAAAATGATCTATATCGTTTCTAAAATCGTTATGATTCTTTTTATATATTACATAATTAGTCAACCAATTACAGGTAGATAAAAAATAGATACGAATATAGTTTATTTATATATATATACCTGTATATATGCATTAGAGGCATTTCGTAATAATGCTGACCAATGTTGCGAACAAGGACGCATTCAAGCGGAGCGTACTAAAACATGTACTGTAACATTACAAACGTTAATAACAGAAAATGTTAAAAATCATTCAACCAATTGTCGTTTTTTAACACATATTTGTTGTTTATCAAATTTACGTAGTTATTTTTGTGAAGAAGGTTTAAAAACAGCTCTTCGTTTATTACCATGTAATCAAACAAAACTTGAATCAAAAGATTCTTATCAGGTTTCATATAATTTGAAAAAATTATGAAATTCTTAAAAAAATTATCATATATGTATATATATATATTTGTACATAGATATGTTGTAAATGTTGCGAGTTAGGTGTTCGAGCAGGTCGAGATAAAGAAGATTGTGAGCCGGTGACTGTACTTGATGAACAATGTGGTGAACAATTTACTAATTGTTGTCAAAAAGCAAAATCTTGTAAGAAGATAAAATCATTGTTTTATGTATTAAATTTTCTTTTCCAGTAAATTGTGATATTGGTTTTGAAATGGATAATGATGAACGATGTAAAGGTATTTGTTTAGATATAAACTCATCTTATTTGTGAATAATTATCTTCAAAATAGATATTGATGAATGTCTCTTAAATCCATGTCCAAAAACAATGAAATGTGAAAATACACCAGGTAGTTTTCGATGTGTTGAAGGATGTGAATTTGGTTACACGTGGTCAATTAAACATGGAGCATGTCGAGGTAAATATCGATTCTTTATTATTATTGATTTTTTTCAGACTAATTTTAAAATAGATATTGATGAATGTGCTCTTTATAAACATAATTGTACATATGGACATCGTTGTGAGAATATGCCAGGCTCATTTAGGTAAAGAAACTTTTAAGTTGAGTGAATAATTATTTCGTTTTTTTTTTAAAGATGTATTCGTGAAAGAAATTGTGGAACTGGTTATCAAGTTGATCCTGTCACACAGACATGCGTAGGTAAGAGAGAGATTGTGAAGAAGAATTTTCGTATTCATTTATGAATGTTGGCTTTCTTTTTTGTTTAGATGTTGATGAATGTGAACAAGATATTGATGAGTGTAGGCAAGTGATGATCTATCATTAAGATAGAATACAAACAAAAAAGATGTCTTTTTTTTCTAAATTTATTCTTATTTATGTTTAGACCTGGATATATTTGTAAAAATGTTCCAGGAACATACAAGTATTTATTTTTATTTTTATTTTAATCTAAATTGACTTTTTGCTTAAGATGTGTACCACAAAATTGTACATTTGGTGAAAAATTTAACGCTTTCTATGGTCGTTGTGAAAAGATTCAATGTCGTTCAGGTTTTAATGTAACAGTAATGGGAAAATGTGCTGGTAAGATAAGTTATATTTAATCTCGTTGATATTTATTTATATTCTATTATAGATATAAATGAATGTGCTCAAAATCCGAGTCCATGTAAACTTGGTGAACGTTGTGATAATACACCAGGTTCTTATCGTTGTGTACAAACATTTGCTTGTGCAAATGGTCTTCAAATGAAAGATCTTCAATGTCTAGGTAATTTCAATAGATTGTTTCTTTTTTTTTTTTGTATTTCTTTTCTTATTTCTTATATTCAAATAGATATTGATGAATGTGCTATTGGTAATCATACGTGTCTTCCACCAGCAACATGTAAAAATACGTATGGATCATTTTATGTAAGTTTTTATTAGATTTAGAAGCTATTTCAATTACTATGAATTCCGTTCAGTTTTTAAATGATGAATTCTATATTACAGACGTGTTCGACACATTATCATTGCCGTAAACTAGAGCCCGCTAGGATTGGAACTTAGCCAAGGAGCTATACTCAAGCAGTAGCAGCTAGTTAGAACTTGATTATTATAAGATCACGGTGAACATTGTCTAAGAAATATAGATATAGAATATGTTAGTAGCAGAATTCGAAGCAACTACAAATCTGAGGGGTAACATAAGACAAGAGGGTATAGGAACGAATTTGGATCTCTTTTGATTTTCAAAGTCCAATCTAATTGTGATGTATATATAGAATGAAAATTCATATATCCCTAATCATTTGAATCATTCATTTTAAATAATATTTTGAATCTGCTAGACTGTATACAAATTTTCCATCGCTGAGATTTTGACTCTAAAATACCCATGTTGTGTATTCCATTTGTCATTTAATGATCGTGTTGATGAAACTTCGTCTGCGCTTAGCTCATTTCATAATCAATAGAACTTTTCAAACGGTTTGAAAAATTGTGCTACGAAGCAAAATTCTTAGTCTACTATTCGTATGATCTAATAATGTTCAACTTTTTCAACTGATATATGACTACTTTTAAGCAGGTTAATACACATTTCGATTCAAATAATATCAAATTTGGAATTATCACCAAAAAATGAGTTGGTTTGTATATGTTTCAAACTGTTTCTACGACTTTTTTTTCTGATGAAATTTTCGTCCTTGGATCCTCTAGGTATGTGTGAAAAAATGAATTTAGTCAACACAACTATTTAATTAATTAGTCACCTCTGTTTTTGTCTTATAATAACATTTTATAATTTGATAACTTGCTTTTCACTGTTACAATGACTTTTTTGATGAAATTCATTGTTGCGCATATCCGTGAAGAGATCCAAGGGGTGGAAATTCTATCAGAAAAAAACGTCGCAAAAAAAGGTTGAAGCATAAAAGTCTTCGCATGTTTTTATGCTGACTCCAAATATGATGTTTGTTTGAAATAAAATGTGTATTATTCCGCTTGAAAACCATCAATTATCAGTCGAAAAAGTTAAAAACTGGTCATTATGAATAATAGACTAAGAATTTTCTTATATAATATAGTTAAACGACAAATGAAATGCAAATCGATAACTCTAAGTCAAAATGTAACAAATGGAAGATTTTTTATACGATCGAGCAGATTCAAATCATTATTTTGAATGAATAGTTCTTTTATGAAAATGTAGTGCAAATAGAGGAGTATCAATATGCCTTTCAGTCATCCTTTATTCTTATTTGTTTTCTATCAAACGAGTGCTCACATTGCTAACTAGTATCAATAAATCACTGTTTATTTAGTTTGTCGGGAATATAGACATTGTTTACAGTTATAAGTGAATCGAAGTACCTCTTTTCTAGCATGATCTTTCAATTTATATATGACTCCATTACATTGAACCTTGAAAATCAAAGCTGACCGAAATATACCTTTACCCTTTCGTTAGAATTAGGACTAAGGCGAACAAATATTTTCTTATGATTCAATGATGTGTATAAAATCAATCGATTATTAAAAACTCATGAATTACGAATTTTGATTTCATTTCTAGTGTCAATGTCCAACTGGTTTTATATTTAAATCTGGTGTTTGTATTGGTATGAATGTTCCTATAAATATTTCATAGCTATAAATATTTCATATTAGATGAGGATGAATGTTCAAGAGGAAGTACAATATGTCCAATAAATTCATTCTGTCGTAATACTCCAGGATCATATATTGTATGTAAATTTTTATTTAACAAAAGAACAATAACTTACTGTTTTTTTTTTTGAAAGTGTGATTGTGTTTCTGGATATAAAATGATAGCTGAACGAGCTTTTTGTGAAGGTAAATAAATATCTAATAGAAATATTAAGTTATTTCGTTTTTTTTTATTGATGATCAGATATTAATGAATGTGAAATTTCACCACATACATGTGAACAAAGATGTATTAATGTTCAAGGTTCATATTATGTAAGTTTAAAAGAAACTAAATAAAAAACGAAAACTAAGATAAGAAATCTCATTTTCTTTTTACTTAGTGCTTATGTAAGGAAGGTTATCGATTAAATAACGATAAACAAACATGTCGAGGTAAGATTTCATATGCTATCAATTTTCTTTCTTTTATCAATAAAAATCTCATTTATTCAGATCTTGATGAATGTTCAATGATTGCAAATTTATGTCAATATCATTGTGTTAATACACCTGGATCATATAAATGTATATGTCCATCAGGTTTTACAGTGGAGCGAGGACGTCATTGTCAAGATATTGATGAATGCCATCTTGGTACACATAATTGTCGTACTGATGATATTTGTGTTAATCTTCGTGGTAATTTTCGTTGTTATTCTATTGATTGTCCTCAAGGTTATGAAAAATTCGGAAATAAGTAAATTAAAAAGTCTTAATTTTTAATTAATAAAAGCTTCTTGACATTTTTTTCGTATTAATAGTCGATGTCAATTAAGTACACAATGGTGTCATGAACATCAAAATGATACAAATTTACGTTGTACAATTAATAAACCATATAAATACGTTTATTCATTTATATCAATTCCAGGTATGAAAAGAAAATTGAATTATTAAAAACTATACATAAATATATTTTTTTTATGAAATAATTTAGCTCGAATGCGTACACCAACAGAAATCTTTCGTATACGGAATAGTCAATTAAATATAAATCAACATGCTGAATTTAATTTAGAATTAATTAATGCAAATGATCTATATAAAAATTTATCACAAACAACTATTGAAAATTTTAACATAAAAATTCATTCACCACATGATGCTCATTTAATTGTTGTGAAAGAATTAGATCCATTACAAGAAATTGAATTACATATTCAAATGAAAATTTTTACAAATTCTATTTTATCTTCAATGACGATTATGAAAGTTTTGATTTATGTTAGTCAATACGATTTTTATCCTTAGTTGATAATCTCTGTTTTGCATGTTTTTTGTTTGGTTGTTTGTTTGTTTTCAATTGTTATTAGAGGAAAGAGTGCGTCTATTTTTTTAAGAAGAAGATGACACACACACACTTACATATGAATAATAAAAAAAAGAAAGAAATTTATTTAAAAAAATTAAAAACTAAAATTTTTATATTAATATGCTGATTGTGTTTGAAATTTCCAAAGTATAGGCGAATTATATGATGAAATATTACCTGTAGATAATTCACATATAAGTTCATATTCATGTCCATATGATGATCTAAATAAAATTAAGCAAATCTATTGAAAATAATAAAAATTAAAATCTAACCTATTTGAATGTTCTTCATTAACAGATAAACATTTATTAGTTGATGCATGAGCAAGAACAATTCTATCATCGATTTTAACTTCTGATCCATCTAATTCCATTCGTAAATGTATACTTGGATGCATAACAAGCCAAACACTATTTCGACCTGGATTATTAGTAAATATAACATCACATGTTCGTCCAGCACGTGTAGAACTTTTAACACAAGTTAAAAATAACTAAAATCAAAATATAATATGAATAGTTTATAATAGAGAAAAATAAAATTGTACTTCTCCATTTGGATCATGTAGCATTATTTCATCACCATATCGAACAGGTTGAGAATCAACTGAAAGATTAGATCTGGAAGCAAAATAAAATCAATCGGAATAATATTCATCGTAGATAATTTATCCTACCGTCGAATAATAAAAACTGTACGAAGCATAGGACGTATCATTGTTGTTCCCGTAGCAGTTACTTCATTAGTTCCACCATTTGTAGTTGTCGTATGAGAAATACCAGTAGCTAAACAACAATTTAATTGTGATTTTTCACCTGTAAATTTTGCTGAATGTGTCCATGTATTGACAAGAAGAATTTGATGACCAAAACGAAGTAATCCATCACCACCAGATATACTTAAAGGAAGCTTTAAATAGAATCAAAATTATTTTTACCATATATAATTCAATTTACTTCATACCGATTGTGACATACGTTCAACTTCAGTCATTTTCTGTGATGCTAATTGACCAGTATAACGTTTATGAAGAAAATCACTTAAGACCTCCTATAATTTATAATATTAAAAAGTTCAAAAAAAAAACCGGTCATGGCATTCCAATAATAATCTATACCTCTTCCATAACTCTATCTTCATACCAGTTTCCAATAAGTACATGAGGATTGTATGGTCGTACATTGGCTCGACTGTTCATCATCTTTTATTGATTTCTTTTATGATTGTTAAAAAAAAATGAAATATATGTAACTATAATACAATCTTTTTTATTGTGCCTATATAACGTTTCTATGTCACCAAATTGTCAAGTAAAAACACAACGAATGTTAATCCACTCTTCTTTTGTTTACAATATCTGTAACATACTCATGTTTCTCACGATTTATTGCAGGTTTCTATCAAATTTTATTTAATATATTAAACATTAAAAAAAAATATATCTAAATTTTTTTTTTTAATATTCAGTATTTACCCAATACACTGAGATCATATATAGTAATCAATCTGATCCATTCCATAAAGATTTTTTTCTATGTTCATATTGTCGATACTTTAAAAAATAATACAAAGACAATAAGTAAGTCAGTTAGCAATACGTTGACAAGTCAAATGATATACAAATGAAACAATAAATGGATCATCATCTCTTACCTCATATGTTAAAATTTTTTTACAATTAATGTTATGATAATTTTCTTTTTGCTAAAATCAACTGCTATTAGTCTTACATAAGTTGTATAAAAAGTATTTGGATGTCAGAGAGAAAGGCATAGTCCTTTTTCGTATGATTAACATTGAGTGAAACGAGATCAATAAATAATTTTCTCGATAAATGAAATCGTGTAGTATAGTTCAAACTCATTCTCGAATGTGAAAAAAATCGATTAATTTATTGAGAACAAAAAACATGTCTAAATTATTATTCGTAGTCTCATGAAAATATCACTATGCTACATTGATTTAGCATAATCTATTGAATTTTGAACGAACTAGCCAAAAACAAATGTTTCTATGATGAATTTTCATGTCATCATTTTGTTGAGCTATATAATAATATTTTTATTTCTGTCGATCGATCTTGATATGACTCGTTTAAATTTTAAATGACCAGCTCTTTGTACGAAAATATAATCATGAGATAATTTCGAAGGACAATAACTCCCAAGTAAATAACTAGAAATTTGGAATATATATATATACTCACAAGGGAACTTCTTTAGATGTTCTCTTCTAGTTACAATTGACTTTTTTGCCTATCGATACTAAATCATGTTCTCATAAAAACCTTGAAAAGATTTGGGTTCCTACTGAGATTAGAGTAAGCTATTAAATTTCTAATATGTCTATTTTCCAGAAGTCTTATGTTTTTGGAAAGCTCATGTTTTAGAATTTTGATCTGAAAATTTGTATATATCAAGAATTTAACTAGACTAATTTCCCTACAAGAATTCGAAAGTTTCGAAAAATGCATTTGGTATAGATTATCCATGAAAAACAGTCCATATCTTGAAAGTCTCATATCTTGAAGAGACTTTATTTAACACTTTTGAATTTTTTATGGGAATTTGTCTTATTGAGTTTTTTTATATGCACAAAGTTTCAATTCAAAATTCCAAAAATACGAGCTTTTTGGAAATCGAAAAACTTTATATAACAGATATATTAAAAATTCGCTATCTAAGTCCAATCTCAATGGGAATCCAAATTCTTTTACGATTTTTATTAGAACACTATGTAATATCTATAGATACAAAAATCGTTGAAATAAGAAAGGGACAACTGAGGAAGTTATCTTGTTAGCTGTTAATGTAAATATATAATATGTAAACAATAATCACATCTTTTATAATGTTATATCAATAAGCTGAGCTGAATATTTTTCATTAAGGATATATTTTGTTTCTGTGCCAATCATTTAATATTTCAGAATTACAAACTCTTTTTTTTAAGATTTCAGGTGAGTAAACTGTTAATTCTAATAATGATCGACTGCAAATTGGTCACATCTTAAGGAAACGTTCGAAGAAACTTTCACAGATAATTGATCCAATTCTTCAATTTGTATATATTTACATATCTAAGGGTGTCATTTATTTACAAGAAACTAAATCAATATAAATAGTTCTTCCTTTTGTATTTCAATACATTTTGTGACAACACATACGCACAAGTACTTTCACCAACAAATGTAATCATATTTGCTAGATGATTGAGTTTAGATGTATATATAGTAAATAGAGCAATATTTTTATCTATTCTATCAACAACTTATCTTGTTTTATGGATCTATTTGAATGTATCAATGAAGAAAGAGATACTTGCACATTTATTTGCTTTTCTTTGAATCATTTCGTTAATAATTTATATACGAGATTCATTTCTTGCTATTAGTATCAATCGTAGTTGATTATGCGTAATGATTAAATTATTTTGAATTTCAAATAATTACTCTACATATAATTCAATTTGTTGACTAAAATATTGACCTATTTTTCTCTTGTTTATTAACCATGTCAAAATACATTGATATTTAAAATAATTGACACTGTTTATTTCCTGTTGAAAAACAATAAAGCAAAAGATTGAATGTTTTTTTCTAGATAAAAAATCTATCATTCAAACAAAACTGACAACAATAATTTTTTCATTTGTATTTATTCAATAAAATTGTGTATGTTTTTTCGATGAGTATATTTATATAGTTCACACATATCAAATATTATTTCTATATTTTTAGTAAGAATCAATTCTCAAAGATCAACATGATCAAATAGCACTGTATGACACTCTGCTTTTAACAAATGATGAACAATTATATATGCTATTCCATATAGAGTTTTTTGTTCATAAAAAGGATTAGAATAACTATACTTGTCCTATTTCTAATTGAGATTAAATAAAAACTAATAATATTGACACGAGATTCTAATCTCACACGATTGAATAAAGAACCTTCAATGTCGATAAATTCATGAAAAGAAAATTTTAAGTGTTAAGTGTCAGATTGCCTGTCAAAAAGGAACTAACACTAGACATTTATTTTTCCTGTTTCTTATCAAGATTTAATAAAAAAGCAATAATATAGGCATAAGACAATAATCTCACACGATTGAATGAAGAACTTTCAATGTCTATAACTTTATGAAAAAAAAATTCTTTGTTCATTGTTAAACGTCAGATTGCATGTTAAAAAAGAACTAATACCATTCACTTACTTTTTCTATTTATCATTGACATTAAATAGAAAGTAATAATATAAGCGCAAGATTATAATATGAAATGAACGAATATGCATTGTTAATAATGTTCCATCGTTTGATTAGAAAAGAAAGATTTGAACTGTTTAAGTGTCAGATTGTCTGTGAAAAAGAACTCTTACGAGTCACTTCAAAGTTATCCGAACTTATTGTGACAGACAGTTTCCAAGTGCTTATCCCAGACATTAATCTGCCATGCTTTGTAAAAACAAAATAACATGAAAGAAATTTTTCGCTATATAGTTCAGTAAATCTATTCTACAAAATCAATTATCTATGTTTAATTAAAATTAGGTTTTGTTAACAGTTATTCTACAAAATTCAGATGATTTGTTGTCTTTTTTTTATAGGTATATGATAGAAAAATATGTTTGTTTAGAGAACTAAGAAAGACTTTTATTCAACGAATAAATTTACTTAATAATAGAAACTAATAATAATTTTTTCGATCGAAATAGACCTATTAAACTGTAAGATATATTTTATAGAATATTTGTTAATACTCTAGTTAGTTATGAAAAAACTCTTCAAATTGTATGATCATGTATTTTCATTGATTATTTATATGCTTTGAAGGAATATCGTTTAGTTTAAAAATGTATTTCCGCTCGTCAGATTTCTTTTCCGTTGAGAAAGAAAATACTATTATGATGGCTTTGATATATGAGAAAATAAGCTATACCTGTCGTACAGAGAGAAAGAATTAGAGCATTCTTCCACTGTCTATCTTTTGTATTTTATTAAAGACAGGCTCTATTAAGCTTCTAAAAAGACATTCTAGTCATCTCTATGTTAGAAAATTGGATTAACAAATTTGTCAATATTATGAAAACGGAAATGTGTCTATAGAACACATTGAATTAAAGCATATATAAAAAAATCAGTAAAAGAAAACGAGACAAAGAAGTAGAAACGAAAGGAAGACAATTCTTTTTCTATTCGTTTTTCTCTTTCCTTTATAAATATATATATATTCACATTTGTCAAACAAAAAAAAACTACATAAAACATGATGAGACAAAAACATACTATTAATCTTAGTGACACTATTTAACGACGGTAAATAATCTGTTAGTGCGTTTTGATATTCTATGAAATATAAGCATAATATTCGTTCTTAATGATTCTTCAAATAAATAATGTAAGCATTGTTACGTTTTTCTTTACTTTATTCTGACAAGCAATGAACGTATATTCTACAATAAAATGACACAACAATCTTGGTCCATCTGTATGCTCTTTGAATGAGATCATTTGAATCCTGGGGGCTTTCAAAGGAATGATAACGAATTGAATAATTGAACTAGAACGATGGCACTCTAAGAGCAAAACTAAACTATGAACAAGCAAACCCAATTAAGCCAACGACCAGAACATGTTCAAGTAAAAAAATGCACTCAAGTTTTGGCGTCTTTTCTTCTCTTTCTTTTTTTTTTCTCAACTATTTTCTCTATGTTGTGAAGTATGCTCTAGAAAACAAGAGTCGTAGTCCATACTGTATGTTTTTTCACTACCATCATTTTCTTTCTGCTCTTGCAATCGATTGTTAACTACTACTGATAGTGCTATGTAGCCTTTTAGTGTAGAACATGTTTTTGCTCTTTTGTCACAATCATTATTGGGTCTTTTATCTATTCTAAATGTGCATGTGTGTATGTGTCTGTATGTGCACAAGACTGAGATCAGATTTATCTTGCTTTTTATTTTTTTGCTTTCATTTCGGAACATTTTTTCTTTGGAAAAGAGTGGATTGAGATAGAATATTGCATTTAGTGTAAGATTCGTCCAAAAATATAAATCTTCTCTTATTCAATCAAATGCATTCTCATTTGATAGAAGTGGATGCTGCCGCTAGTCATAAAAATACACACAAAAAACTGAGTGAGTATGAGAAGAAAGTACTTGATAGAATTCAAATGACAAAAATCACACAAAAAATAAAATAGCATAGAGGTCTTTTCATTATATTATATAATTCCATTTTTTAGTTTGAGTTTTCTTCTAGATAATATTTCCTAATCTTCTTCTCAACATTTGCCTGTAAATTAGTTAGCACTATGCAACCGATCAGTATTCTGTTCGCGTTTGTTGTCGGCTGTATAACTTTATTAACTATGACTTGTTCTCTTTCGATTAATGATAATCAGGTAATGAAATACTTATTATATAGAAGTATCTATTCATTTTTTCTATATTTGATAACTGTAGAAGATTCAATCAGCAATCGCCGATATGCGTGTTAAACGTTCATTGGCTAACAAACGTTTTTATGATTTCGGTTCTCGTTCAATTAATTTCAATGATGATGATTTAGAAGATATCAATGATCAATACAATCGTTTACGACGTTTCTATGATTTCGGTACAAAGAAACGTTTGGTAACACGTTTCTACGATTTTGGTTCAAAAAAGAAGCGTTCAGATGAATAATGTGAACCAACAAACATATTACAACATTTTTTTTTCTCTTCTCTATATCTGTCATAAATACATAATATCTTTATTTCCCTAATGGGTTATATAAGACGCAACAGCATAGTGAACGGTTTTAATACCGATTGAGATCCAATATGTTACAGTAAAGATTTTGATTTATTATTTGCATGATTGAACACATCAAATAAAAGGAAAAAACAATAATAAAATCTTCATGTTCTTTTTTGTTTTATTGAGTGAAGAAAAAAATTGCAGTAATTATTTAATTGATTAGAGCATTTGATAAAACATTGTTATATTTTAAGAAAAACAAAACTTACAGATTGATTGTTTTTTTTTGTTGTTCATCCGTAAATCCGGCAAAAGCAATGATGCAAGAGAAAATTTAATATACTTTATAATATTAGTTGATAAATGTATCACTGCTAGAAGTATCAATTGAAACTTACAAGTTTTTACTTATTGTTTAATTCAGATCAAATATATAGAAAAAAATGCGTTATTTTTTTCTATTATTTCTATAATTACAATAACATTTATTCATAGAGTAATTATTATACTAATTTATTTGAGCTAGATTGGAACTGTTGAATAAAACAAATTCGTTGAGAACATATTTTGGTCTTCTAAATGAAAATATTTTTCATAACACCACTTAACTTTGTTTAATCTTTCGTCATTCTAGATACTAATTACGTAAGTAAACTAGACCATTATTAGGATGGTGGCTGTGCACACTTCCCTTTTACTTTTCAATATAATTTCCGTTTGTCTGATGTACAAAAAACGGAAATGTAGTCTCTATTGGTGATACTGAAATTAAAGGTGATATGCTCATCATTAGCACTATGAATGCATTTTTACAATGAATAGAGAGCTATTTATGACGGATGTTATAAAAAAAGCTGATTGAGTCTGACAAGAATAATAATAAATGAGACAGTTTAAATATATTTTTTCTCGTTGACAGTTATACCATCAAGACCATTGAGCTATAAAAATAATTGATCTTTTTATAATAACAATTTATTCGTTATATTATTACTAATAGATGTAATGATTATTTATGAATTCATTAATCGTAGATGTTCTATATCTATAATAAATTTATTTTATGAAAAAAATTTGATCAATGAATTATTGCATTAAATCAATACCAAAACATTGTTATAATCTATATAAAAATATTTCTTTATTATTCATTTAACAATAGATCTTGATTCTGTATTTTAAATTATTTATATTTATGGATAATCACATAACAATACCATAAGCTATTTTGAAAAAGCTTTTTTTTTTTTTTATAAAAACCGGAAATTATTTTACTACGCGATCGTGAGCAAAATCCATTGCATGCCTATAATAACAAAAAATGTCAACATAAAAGTCATACAATACTTGAACATTTAATTTGGTAATCAATAGTAAATGAATAGCAACTGGGCAAATATTGTCGTACGATCAATAGAACAACTTTCCTAGTAAACTACTCCAAAAAAAAGTGTTAATAGTTTTTAAAATAGGATTAATAAAATGTTTCAGTTCAATATATCAATGCTAATCGTTAGTACTGGCTATATGGTTTATTAAAAGAATCAAGACGTGCAGATTCAAAGATGGAAAAGAAAGGAAAGTTTATGTATTTATGTGTTCTGGTATATAATCTTATATAATCACGCCATATCTTGAACAATACCATTTATACAACGATGATTACGCCATATGTAGAATAAAGAGATGATTAGAAGATGATCATATCGCATAGAAGAGAAAACATGATGTGATAAAGATGATAACAGGATAAAGGGATAATCTAGGGTTACGTCGATAACACAAATAAAACAAAATTGGTATCTGTCGTGCGGAAGTTACTTTGGCTGCTGAAGTTATAACTTCGACACGACATATTCATTGTTCTGAAAATAAACATGCTATTTTTAATAGTAAAAGAAATTGATTTTATTTTTTGGAACTAAATAATATAACAAGCATCAAATAAGTTACAAAATAAATATGGCAATACTTTTAATAAACTTTTCTCTAAAAGAGTCTTCAGAGTTTCTATGAAAATCTCCATTATTTCTTAATGATTTATGAAACGTCAAGGCATTATCGGAGATTTATTAGAATTTAGCGGAAATTCATAATGAGAATTAAGACTATTGAAAACAGTCGTATATACACTGTGATTTATAATTGTGTATTCACATACGCCTTTCATCAGGAGGGAAGGAATGATGACTTCCTTTTTCTGTCTTCATCCGTAACTACAAATATCTAACTTATCTTTAAGAATAATGTTGACTGTTGTTGAGATGTATCTAGATAAAAAAGAAATACGATACAATTTAGTTCTTAAAATAGTATTTACCGTCGAGATGTTTGTTCAAGTAAGTCTTATTCGAAAATATAGAATAGACTTTCTCAAGTTGGTATATTATGATAAATCTAAATTAATAGAATACAAATTAGCTTTTTAAATTAATTCTATATTTGAATTTACTACTTAATTTCTAATATACAAGTTGTTATGCATTTCCTTATACATTTCTTTAGAAATTTTTATTTGTACTCTTTCATTGAAAATTGACAAGCGTCTAGGAATTTCTCAGGAAGTCTCTGATGATTAGTTTGGCAGACTCTTAGGAATTCACTAGAGATTTCATATTTTCATGAGACTTATCAGTGAATTCAACAAGTGACATTCTACTAGGGAGTAATTTCTCTGTATAATCTATATTATATGTAAAATTGCTTAAAATCGACTTTTATTATTAGTTTCATGAAAAATTATGCAATGATTTAAACACATAAAAAAAGCCAAACTTGTTAATTGATTCATTTTCAAAATCTTGATGATCGATCATGACACAAATGAATATATATTGCATTGGCTGTAATATACATGCTGAAATCTACTAATATATATTCGCATGTTTGAGATAATATAATAGAATGGAAAAGCAAGAATCATCAAAAGAGATGTTACAATGACTTACATATTGCACGTCATAATTTCTACATGATCAATAATTGTCCCTTATGAAAGAACGTACATTAACGTTATTGTAAAACGTAATAAAGAAAGAAGAGTCTTCAATCTAAAAATAACTATATATATATTTACTATTCTAACAAGAATATGTTTAATAGAAGGAGTTCTTTTTCTTGAATTTTTCCAGCAAACAGAAGTCAATAATATCTCGCAAAATATATTTTGATCAAATTCTTCATGCTTAACGAGATTCTAGGTTCAACATTGAATCAAAATATGTCTATACTCATATGGTACCAGATATTTCAAAAAAACCAAACGAGATAAAAACAGAAATTTCTTAAATAAGCCAAAAGATTTACACGTCTTTTTTAATTTTATGTAATGATTTTAAAAATTTTTTTCAGTATATTCCAGTTAAAATATATCTACATTATACTATCAGAATAAAAGTAATTTTTATAGAAGTGTAGACGATTTTTTCGTTTTATGAATATATTGCAAGACAGAGTTTGATGTACTGATGACCAATATATGGATATCGATTTGTTCTGTCGTCTTCTAAGAGAGAAAATGCAGAAATACTCAAAAGGTATAAAAATGAACCAAAACCGCTTATGTGTGAGAGGTTCAAGTTTTCTGTCTAATGGAAGACATCCTGCCATATACATTACATCGAAATACTTTTTCTACGAGAAATTTACCTATACATGGTCCTAGGTCACTTTTTCGAAAACTTTGCCTGCGACTAGTCGATGATAAATTCCTGATGAAACAAATGTTTTGATGCAGTTTTTAGCTGCCTAAGAATATAATGTTTATTTTACTGTTTTCTGATAGTGGGTGGTGAAAACGGCTGTACTTATGTAAAGTTTCGCCCTTTAGACAAAAAATTTTTATTTTCTTGCTAATAACAGAAAAACTTTAAAAAATAAACAGGCACTATTAAAGTTTATCCTTGACAGATTCTAACGAAACAAGACACTTGATTTCATCTCTTTGTATAGAAAACTTCATAGGTTTGCAAACTTATGAACTAGCGGATCTTAATTACATGTGTGTTCGACATATTAATACTGAATAGGCCTTTGATTTTAAAATCAAGACAATATGACTATGCTAAGTTTTAGAAGACAAATAAGAAAAAAATATAACTTGAAATGTTTTCGTATTCTCAAATAAGCGATGTTTGTTCATTTTTACACCGGCCTCTGCGTATTTCCTCATTTGCTCTTCTAGAAAGCAATAGAAAAAAAATTGAAATAATATATTCATGATCAGCACATCAATTCTATCCGATGATGTGTGAATAAAACGGTAATCATTTTCACTCGAATTTTATACTCGTTGTACCTTGCAATAAAAACTGCTAATTATATTTCACAAAAAAAAACCGACCACATCAAGATCGTAATTGAAATATTTTGCGATGCTTTTGTAAGAATAATTTTGCCGGAGATCGATCATACTATGGAAGGTTTATAGTAATAACAATTGAAAAGCGTGAACGAAATTGATACTATTTATAAAACTGTCTTGAGAACATGTGTTCGAACTTTTGCAATAGTTTACTCACAAACATATCGAATTAATGCAAAATTTAAAGAACGTTACAACAGAAGATGATTTCTTCACATATTAATAGTGAACTACACAAGTTTTTATACGATATTTTCTCTAACATGGGAATTCAAAGAGATAGTCAGATTCAATGAACTTCACATTCAATCAGACTTCGCGTAATCCAAATTACTGTCTATCCAAAATTAAAATGGTCGCCACTATTTTTTTAATAACTTGAGAACAGAAGCAGCTACCGAGCTGCGGTTTTCATCAGTCTAAAGAAGAGATATCGGGACGTCTTTGTCTCCGATATTGTATAAGAAGAAACTATTTTAAAATCCACTGTTTTTGTGAAACGTCGAAAAAATGTACAAAAATAATCCGTCATTAAGATGAAATTTTCACAAAAAAATCAGAAAATTTGCTTAAAAACTAA